GCAAATATGACTGCAATTAATAAAAATTCTGATTTTATTGATTCTGACATTGAAAGGACATGCTAAAACAATTTTAATAAATGTTCATATTATAAAATTTATTATAATTATCATTAATTAATAGTAATTCTTCTAGTATTATTTACTTGCTGTGTTCTAGTTGTAGTGTTGTCTTTAATAACAGCTCCTGTATAGTTGAAGTAATACAAATACTGTAATACAAATAATTCGAGCTGCTGTACTGCAAGGAAGTAACATTAAAACATTCGATGTATTGTTAATATTTTCAGGCCAATAGACAATTATAAGCTATTTTTTTGCACTATTAAAGATGTGCTCTGAATTCAGATTACATAAGTGAAGTTTTTATAGCATTTTTTAACTTGTACATTTTAGAATGTACTTATTCTACTAACATTAAATAACTGTTAAGAACAATATTTGTAGTATAATAATCAGATTTTTGTTGTATTTAGAATTCCAATAGGTCAGATTCACACAGATTCATGAGTTACAGAATATACAGTAATAAGTTAAATGTTTACTAACAACACATTTGAATGCTAAACATAACTAAGGTAACAAATATGTATGCCATCTCAATACTTTTCACTATATGCATATATGCACTAGATGCACATAGAACTCAAACAACTCCAGGGGAAAATGTGAATATTAACACAACATAAATACTATCTCTAAAATCAAGGTTGAAGCTTTCTCAGGAGATTGACATAATATATCACCAATACAAACAAGTACAAATTCTATAGGAAGTTTTACAAATGTAAAACATCATACTTTCATAAGGCAAGAACTCTAGCGGGCAGAATACGTAATTTATTTTCACGTAACTAATCTGGAAATAGCATAATATTTGAAACATAGTTAGAAATGGCTTTATAATGTATCTTTAAGTTTAGGAAGAGTTTTATACTAGATATTCCTACAACTTTAGTCAGATGATACTGTATAGACTTAATGGCTGAAATTAACTTGCAATGGCTAGCTGGCCATCTCTTATGAAGACTGAAAGCTTATGATTGCTATAAAAGTTTAGGTCATAAACAAATTTAGAGAAGATATATGTAGAGACTGGCATATCCTAAACAATTTAACATATTACATTAGGATAAATGTTCTTAGCACATGCAAATTATATAATTTATCAAATAGCAAACTTAACAGTCTATAAGGCTAGAAATTAGTGAGAAAGGTTTTGTGCTGATAATCTATAGTAGAATCTGTCTAAATGGTATACAACATTTATCAGCCAGAATTTTCTGTTTTTATAATAAATTTTATTTTTATTTATGCAGAAAAACATGTTGAAAAAATTTTAGCATACATATTTACAGTTGTTATGAATAAACTTTTGGTTTTAATTTAAAATTTTATCTTTAAGATGTGAAAAGAAGTTTATAGTCTTCTTTATTATAGTAAATCAAAGTGGGGATAGTAATCTCCATACTACTCAGACTGGAGATTATTATCCCCACTATCTCAATTTACTAGAGTTTGCACATTAGATTACTAAGCCAACAAATAAAATAAATCACTAGTTAAAATACAAACAAGAAAAGTTCAAAAAAGTTTGTATAAAATATAAAAATTACAAAGAATAAAACTTACAAAATATAAAAATTGCAATGTAAGAATGTACAAAATTATCTATTGTACATGTACTTTGTAGGAAAAACTCTTTTTTTTTACTACAGAGTATTATTACTTATTTTGGTTCAGTAATCTCAACTAAAAAAAATGGTGGTAGATGTAAACACTTGTCATTGAGAAGTCTGTCATGATCCAAGACTCAAGTTACAGTATTAAGCTGCTCAGGGAAACAATATATCTACAGAGTACAAAGAAATTAATTTGACAAGTCTGATTTCTATCAGATAAAAGTTTAAGATAGCTGTCTTTCAGCTTTAATAAAGTTTTTTGTGCGTGACTCATCAAAATTTTAAGAAAGATCACTGTCTTTAGGCATTAATAAACTTTTATCTTAGAGTATATTCTTACATTTTTCTAATATGTAATAAAGATGAAATGTTTGCTTCTTGCTTAAATACAATGAGTATAAGACAGATATTAAAATTAAATTATTCAGATTTGCTGCTAAATTGCAATTTTATTTCCTTACATTTAAAATTTTCATTTTGGTGCTTATTTTTTTTTTCCTTCAAATAGCTCAGTTATGGCTTTAGAATTTAACTACTATTATACTGAAAAATTTTACATAAGTTTTTATGCAATTTATAACCAACAAAGTTCTGTTTGTGTTAGAAAGACTTCAGGTGGTTAGTGCTGTTTTTCACCCAGAAAAATTATTGCAAAAAACAAAACAATAAAAATTTTCCTGTATGTTGCCTGATTTGACCGTCACATTTTCTCTTCCTTTTTGCACTTCTTTAAATCTTAGATTTTCTTGTTTATTCTTGTGTGTTACCTTGACAACCAACAAAAAAAAAATAAGAAACAATATTATATAAATATTAACTTTACATTAAATATATATATCAGGGCTGTGGAGTCGCGTAAAAGTCTACCGACTCCGACTTTTCCTTACCATCCGACTCCGGCTAAAACACCAAAACTCCACGACTCCGACTCCACAGCCCTGATATATATGTAATATTATATTGTTTTGAAGTCCTTGGAGATGTGATCAGTGAATGAGGAACTTGAAGGCTGAATTTAAGTATATTTTGTGTGTTACTTTAATAATATGACAGAACTGTAATTATAGATAATACAATCTTTACAAGACAACAGGCTTCACTTTTATTGACAAATAAAAGGACATGTATTGTAGGCATATCCATCTCACATTGTAAACATTGATTTTATTAGCATAGATATTTATAATGAACTGAACTGTTTCAAAAAATGGATGCTTTTGTGTCTGCAGTACTCTTTCAAATGTCATATTGCATACATTACATTAATATTTAGAAATATTAGATCTTAATTACAATATTTATATCACACTTCAGAAAGCAGAAATATTCAATTCATGTTAGTCAGGAATTTTTAAATACAGAAATCCGCTATCATACAACTATTAAAAATTGTTTTATCATGTCATTCATAAGTTGACTTCAGTTCACATTGCACATAGTATTGGTATTAGCGGAGTATTCCATTTATATTATAATAAATTATTCCTAAAAGCAGCCTTCAAAATATTTCATTAAGGCATCAAAAACAAATGTATTGCAGTTGATTTTGATAGAGCAATAATTTAATGTAGAAAAGATTATCAATGTCTAAAATATGAAATAATCTGTTTGACATTTCAAATATTTTGATTGAAGTAATAAAACACCAAACACCAAAATATATAAATATTTTCAATAAGTAAATTAACAAAATTTCAAAATATTTTTATTTTTTGTATATTAAGTATCCAGCTATCCAGTAATGTTCATAAATAAACTTTGAGTAGAACAATATTAAATAATTCAAAAATTTTGAACTACTTATTTGAATTGAGTTTTGGTTTCAAAATTTTAATTAAAATACATATCAAAAGACAGAGTTTCTTTTTTTTATCTCAGACAATATATTGACATTAGATATCATATCTGTATTATTAATGTAGCAATTAATTGTTATGCATATATAATGTGTGATTTGAAAATTATAAATTAAAATATAACACCCTAGTCAATTTGGCTTAAATTTTCAAAGCTTGTTCATAAAATTGTGCAGAAACATTAAAACATTACATTACCAGAGATAAGGACATATTTTTTTAATCATCAAGATTGAGAAAATAAAAAAAAGCTAGTAACATTTTGTAATTTAAAGAATTTTTCTGCTTTTTCTATAATTGTTTTTGAGGCTTCTTGGCTTCAAAAATATTATTTAGGATAAACAACTTCTTTAAATTGTAAAGTAAATTTTTATACAAAGTTTCAAAACACCTTTCTTTCATCTAGCACTTTTTTTTTTTTTTACTAATGTTTTCAGCCATTTTAAATTTTTGCCTTCAAGTTAAACAAAATTGCTATATTTTCATTTTATAATGTTACACTTAAGATTGTGCATTAACTACATATTAAATTAAGTATTAGTGGTTTTTTCTTATCGTAGAAAGATATATTGATAGAATGAGTTTATTTTATTTGCAGTTATTATATTGAATAATTTAATTTCTGAAAATTTCAATAATTTACCATATTTCATATTGTTAAAAATTTAAGTACAGTAGAGCGTCGTTTATCCGAAAGAATTCCAGTTGGCAAATTTAAATTTTTGCTAGTGCTGTTGCACTGCAATCTTTGGCTATGTCTTGGGCTACTCAAATATTTTACGTTTTTGATACTAAATTAACTTCTGAAGTATAATTTTTTATTGTTCTTATATTTTTCAATATATTTATTTTGTTTGTACAAAGTAAAGAAATAATTTTTAACGATACAATAGCCATGATTATTATTTTAAAAAGTTTATGTTAGGCTTAATATTGACGAAAATTCAACGCAAAGCGACACGCAATGGAGAAAAATTTCAGGGTGGGATAGGTTAATGAATTTTTTCGTATGTAATCGGTTATCCAAAAAATAAGTTATCCGAACAACCCCAGTTCCCAATTGATTCGGATAAATGACGCTCTACTGTATATATATTTCTACGATTTTTTTAAGGATATACGCAGTATAATCATACTTTATATTCTTTCATGGAATAAGAAAACCTCAATGTTGAGTATACCAAATTTAAGTGATTATTTGTTTTAAAAATTTGGTCTACTCTTAAAAATTCTATTATTTTATGTATTATATTACATGAATTAATAAAGTTAGAGATTTTTGTCCAAATGTTATTAATTTTTATAATTTGAGTTGAATCATTCAAATAGGAAAATATTGAAATTGTTAGCCAATTATTGCTTCATACAGAGTTTATCATTTCTGTTTTACATTGGCTTTTTTTAATTGATTTTATTCAAATTAGTTCAAAATAAAGATATCTTTATCATACTGGCATTTCAGTGGTGGTCGTTCTTCAAAAACCTTTAAACCAAAGAAAAATATTCCTGAAGGAACACATCAATATGATCTCATGAAACATGCTGCTGCAACTCTTGGTAGTGGAAATCTACGGTTGGCTGTAATGTTGCCAGAAGGAGAAGATCTTAATGAATGGGTTGCAGTAAATAGTGAGTAATTCTTAAACTGTCAAAACTATATATTTGATATATTATACAACTTTCTTTTATCTTCTAGCTGTTGATTTCTTTAATCAGATCAACATGTTGTATGGCACAATAACAGAGTTCTGTACAGAAGAAAGCTGTCCAGTGATGTCTGCAGGTCCAAAATATGAATATCATTGGGCTGATGGCCTCACAGTGAAAAAACCAATAAAATGTTCTGCACCAAAATATATTGATTATCTTATGACTTGGGTACAAGATCAATTAGATGATGAGACATTATTTCCATCTAAAATAGGTTTGTGATTTTTTTAAATGTGTGTATAATGCTGAAGTAGTTAATATTTGTGATAAAATTTATTTTGTATTAATTTCCTTATTATTGTTGGGCTTCAATTTGAAAAAATTGTAGACCTATATATTCCCACTGTTATCCATCTGTCTTTAATCTCGAATGAAGTTAGCTAGATGAAAGAAGAGACCAGATATATAGTTAATCAGGGCGTCCTACCCTGAAAGTTTCCATAAGAACTTCCTAAACAAACTGGAAGTCACATTATTTCAATTCTGAAATTTCCCCTAAAAGCAGTTAGATAGATGACTGGCACAACTTGATTGCTAAAGGAAAAGTATGATGTAAAGGGACAAGCCACTACTAATTTGAGATGGAGAGCATATGTTTTAAATTAAATTAATTAAAAATTGTGCAGCCTAACATTATGACAATGTCACAATAAATAAATTGCTTGTTTTTAAATTAGAAAAATATGGCAGAAGAACTGATGATATTGCAGTATATTATTGTAAATTTTAACTATAAACTTAAAAGTTGATCATGATGATAATTTGTATTGGTAATGTTATATGTTGGATTAGTATTCAGCTGAAATTTTGAACAATAAACAATAAAATTTTATATTATATTTTACATAAATCATATCATATAAATTAAAACTTGATGAAAACAACAGTCTTTTGCCATCAAAAGAAAAAAATTCTATAAAATTTTAGGTCAATCTAAAAATTCTCTGTGCATGAACAAGTTGCATAACATACTGAAATCTATGTAAAGTGAGTCATGATTGCTTTTAAAATTATTGAGTTACTCTGACATCATTAGATGCACTTAAAACCCCAAGCTAAAAGATAGGTATTATTTGCATTTTGTAGAAAAAATAGGTTTTGTGAAGTTATGAGCATGTGTTCTATGAACCTAGAAGAGCTCAAAATAATTCTTTTAGTTTTGTTTGTTTTCACGGGCCTTTTATAATGGTATCCTTTAATTGAAGACTTCTGTTTTATCAAAATTAGAAGTTTTGAAGTATCAGATTCAGACATAACTTCTAATTTTGATATCTGAAGTATCAGATATACCTTCCAATGATCTAATTGAATTTTGATCATTTTGGACAAAAATATTTAGTAACTTGTATGATGGTACCCCCTGTTGCAATAAAATCAGGGCTGTCCACATTTTTCTGCTAGTTTTGAGTATGAGTTTTCCATGTGAACTTTTAGATAGAATTTACAATATATTTTACTGGAGAACACTAAGATTTTATGTAAATAAGAATTCAATAAAATTTTTTCAATTTTATCTTTAAGTTTAAGATTTAAAATTTTTTTTTATCATTTTAATGATCTTTTTTTTTCAGGTGTTCCATTTCCGAAGAATTTTCTCTCCATTGCAAAGACTATTTTAAAACGCTTGTTCAGAGTTTATGCACATATATATCATCAACATTTTTCTGAAGTTGTTCAGCTTGGAGAAGAAGCTCATCTAAACACGAGTTTCAAACATTTCATATTTTTTGTTCAGGAGTTTAATCTTATTGACAAACGAGAACTTGCACCACTGCAAGAATTAATTGAAAAACTGACCAGCAAGGATCGTGAGAAAGAAAAAGATAATACAACCCAACACTGACAGTCCCTTTTTGAAATGTTGTCTTGTATGCAAATTAAAGAATTTAAATTTAAACTGCAAATTGTACACATCAAGCATTCAGATATCTGAATTAGTGCAATCGTAAAGCATTTCTCAGGTTATTTTATTAAATTTAAAGCGAAAAGAAATGTTTTCTAACAAAATTTGATTTTAGGAATTACATTTTGGACCAGATATACAATTTTTCTAGTACAGAGCATAGGGGTGTTGTTTAGGTTTCAAGTGTCCTTAAATAAGGTCAGATAAATCTGCACCTCATAGTTTCCTATTTTTGAATAGAAAACACCGAGTTTGTAATTTTTGGATATCGTATTTCAATAAGAATGGTCATAATTTATAATAAAAAAAAAACAAAAAAGAAAAAAAATGCCAAAATCTCTAAATCGCACTAACTGTGAACAGAATAAAAATGTGCTTATGTGTAAAAAAAGAAATTAATCGTGTTATCACCTAAAGTTGTAAGTTTTATTGAATTTTAAAACAGAAAATTTTTTCTGCAAGTTATTTAGTATATAATATGAAAATATATACTGTACATTCATATATGTTAATATCTTAAGTTACATTTGTTGTTTTTGTTTTTGGAAAAATATTTATTTGAGTAAAATATAGTCAATCAAATCATAAGATTTATTTTTTAGTAGATAATATGTAGTTTCAGAGAATGAAAACAGGAAAAGTTTTTTTAATATATACTGAGAAGTATATAAAATCACTTTTTGTAATGGTTAAATTTTACGGAACTTGTTTTAACTGATTATGTTGTGAGAAACAAAATACTATTTTTAATCAGTTAATTCTAAATATTGGATATTATTATTCATTTAAAACATTTCATTATGCACCTGTGTTGAAAGATTTTGATATTTTATCAGCATAAGCATTCTTCCTGTTTTTTTTTCCTGTTTGGATAACAGTTACACAATTGTCAGGAGGAAAAGACAATAGGAAAAAAAAAATACTGAGAATTTTACATATATACACAAATTTAATTTTGTTTAATTGCTGCATATGCTTATGCATTCACTTTAAAATTGTAATGTGCATTGTTATAACTCACTTGTAGCAGTGTTTTCTAGGAGGTGCTAGTGAAAAATTTTCCAAAAAAAAAAAAAAGAAGAAAAAAATGTATCAAGTTTTGTGAACATGTACAGTGAACAACTTAAAAGTTAATAAAGTGTTTTGAAACTATTCCATCTGATTATTAAAAGTTTTGTACATTTTGTATACAACAAATACATCAATGTTTTAAATATAGTAGCATAAATGGAAGTCTGCAATAACCCTTGCTACTTAACATCTTGTCATTCAAAAATTCGTTAGTAATAAATTTTTTTTTTTTGTTAATTTACTGGTTTGCAAACGTAAACAACAAGTTAAATATGGTTTTCACTGCGGATTGGTCTGTAGGTCGTAACGTCACTGTTTTTAAAGTTATTTATTTGACAGAAATATATGGACGTAGCGAATTTTTTTTTTTGTATAAAATGGAACAGGTTCGCAGGAAAGTGAAGAAAACATTTCCAGGAGGTGAAAGAATATTCAAAGACACTCCGAATCCAAACATATTCTTACTATAGATACAACGGGTAAGATGCGCCCCACAAAATTATATATTTTTCAGATGACGTAAATAGTTTTCGACCTGATAGATTACTAAACTGGTATTCTATCGCATCGTGTGGTGATAACGGCGAAATTTTAATTGAAATGTTGAAGACCTAAATCGTGACCATTTCACTAAATTTAATCTCATTTCCGGAATTAGTTTATTGTCTTATGTCACGCACAATAACAAGATTCCTTCCATCTTGTGGTGAGGTTTCGAATTTTTGGTTGACCGGAACACTAAACTAGAATAAGGGATAAGTTTAGAAAAAAAAAGTGGACAATGACAGAAAATCAAGAAAGATAACTGTAAATCATGATCCTCCGATAAGGACGAGAAAGATTCCTATGTAAACTTTGTGGCCTATATAACACTCCAAAAACTTCATCCAAGTTAAAATACTGTATTACCCCACCATTACTGCCAATTGCTCTCAAATCAGTATAGAAAAGTTTGTTTACATTGTCCAAAGATGGTAATTTGTTACTCTGAAAATGCCTCAGATGTTACTACTATGCTGTGATTGGCTCAGGCAGGTGGTAAATACATTTATGCAAGTACTGCAAGTGATTTTACTTCGTAGTATATCATTAGATTTTGCGATATTTGAAGCCACTTGATGATATAGTGACTATTTCTATCTGTTTGTTAACTCTTACGAGGAATTTGTTCAATAATATATGCAGTATATTACGAATAATCAGAATTTAGAAGAAGAAAATTAAAATGGGCTTGCTAAAAAAAAGCCGCGTTAACACCCACAGGGTGGGAAGAGTTTTAAAAAAAGACTACCCGGGAACAGTGTTGAACAACACGTTTCCAATTCTATAGGCTACCGAAATTTAGCTATAAATTTTGTAACAAATCTATCGATCTAGCGAACTATAACTGATTGGTGGTTAATTGATCATTAATCCGAACTACGATTTATTTACATATACAGTGTAAGGCCCTTTTTCGGTACAGCATTAAATATGTATTTCAGAGAATCACTGACTCTTCATACATTTTCCCCTTTTATACCTTCCCCTCAGAGAAACTACAGGCTAAAGATCAAGCCATTTCACACGAATTTCGAATATCTGTACTGATCTTAACTTTTAGTTTCACTGGTCAAATCAATTTTTGTTCTGACATCATCTTTCTCATACCTCCAGACGACACAGCCGCCAGAGTTTGTGCAGCCCGGGGAAAGAGATGCATTTGACTCCCATTATCCTCTAAATAATAAAATTTTGTTTTGAAATGCCAACCAATTAGAAGTGCCATACCTTGTTCCGTCAACTCGCGCAGCATAGTATAAATAAATGGAAATATTTAGGAATGCAATTGCACTCCAAATAAACATACATCATAATTTTTGTGAAATTAATTGAACAACATAAGAATGCATTTAATAATTAACAAACTTTGTCGGATACAGTAGACTATTATACGAAACTCTAAAATGTAGATTAACCTTTATATAGGTCTGAGCAACTTTTATTGAATTTATTATTCGGACTTACTTTCAATAGGTATGCTTTTATGGTCTACATTTCTCCTGTCTCCTGGCATTCAAAGAAAAGTGTCACGTCAGTAAGACGGCCATTTGCGGCCTCGTCGGCCCTTCCAAAAGTCACGTCGCGTTTTAATTTTAAAGGAAAAATATAAAAATCATAGGTGATCATTTTTTTGACTGATCGCCATACTTTCCCTCTGTCAGAGTCGGTAGTTAATCTACCGACTCTGCCTCTGTATACAATATATCAATATAACTGCCGAGAAAGTAATAAATTGTACACCAAAAATTCTAACTGAAGACGACCGAAATGCATTTTAGTACAGTACTGTACTGGTCTAAAAGATGTACGAGGGCTGTTCAAAAAGTATCGGACCTTTGGTCGGAAAAAATACATTTATTGATTTTGAGGTACAAAACCCTAATCCTCTTCAAAGTAGTCTCCTTGGTAGCGTATACACTTCTCCCAGCGTTCCTGCCATTGTTGGAAACACTGATGGAACGCATCTTTTGGATTTGTGGCGTAATAAACACTAGTATTGTGTTTTATTCTAAAGACACATGGCAAATTTTCCATCCAAATTCCTTTATGGCATCTTTTGGAATGGCCATCAGCCGGTCTGTCGCATTCCGCACGATGTCTTCTCTCGACTAAAATCGGGTTTCTTTTAGCGGCATTTTCAGCTTGGGAAATACCCAAAAGTCACACGGAGCCATGTGGGGAGAGTACGGAGCGTGACGAACCACAAGAGTGTTGTGTTTGGCGACGAAAGCCCGAATCAGATGCGCAGAATGGGCGGATGCGTTATCACGATGGAGCTGCCAAGTTTTGATCGACCACAGATCCGGTCGTTTGCGTCGCACAGCATCGGAAAGACGACGAAGGACCTCCTGGTAGTATTCCTTTGCGATGGTTTGGCCTTGTGGTGAGTACTCACGATACACCCCCCCACGAGAGTCGAAAGAACTGTCAACATGACCTTGATATTTCTGCGGACCTGCAGCGTTTTTTTTTGGCCTCGAGGATCGTCCCCGAGAGCCTGCTGAATCTTGCGAATGGTTTACACTCGGGTATCGCCAAGGTTTTTGGCAAAATTTGATGTAATATCGC